TGTCCTGGGGTTTTCCTAATTACCCACTTAATTGGCACAGCCACACCACTTTGAAATAATAATGTACAGCTAATTATCACCGATTTAAGCTTGCTAATAGCTTATTCTTACCAGCTAACTTCAAGAAATCAAGCAGAGAACAGGAACTGCCACAGGGAGATCCCTCTGCCTGGGATGGTTTAGACATCTATATGAGTGCAATGTCCCATACAGCTGTACTGATTGGTTTCTGCCCAAAAGGAGGAAATAGTGATGTGTTGTTAGCTGTTTAAAGGAGCAGTAGCTCTTACTTGCTTTGCTCAACGATGGAGACTACTGAAAGTAGCATGTATCAATAATCCAGAGTCTTCAATTAGACTGCCTATGCATATAGAAAAAAAATAAGGAAGATTGAACTGGACAGTCACATCTCCAAAACAAAAACAATCCAACTCCAGTTTGGTTCCCTTCTCTCCAAACTGAAAGATTTACATACATTATGAAGTTGTTTAGCACAAGTCTTATAAAAGGACATATTTTAATAAGAAAATTGTTCATTTTCAAATATTAGTACAAAATAAAAGCATATATCTAACAGAGTTTTCTATAAAGTGAACAAAAGAGCAAGAGGGAGGAAAGAAAAAGTTATGAATTTGGTGCTATTGAAAGAAATATCTATAGTTATGATACTAAAATTCTTAGTTTATACTCATTCTGCATTTATTTTAGCTACTTTTCCAAATTCAGACATCTCTAGGTCAGATTTCTTAGAAGCAGTGMCCAAGACAGGAATTTGGAATCAGATAGATAATTCTTTGGAGAAAGGGAGTAAGGGAAAGAGGAGAGGGTGGGGAAGAAGAAGATTAGCTGAAAATGTGAGTTTTAGCCAAAAATCACAGGGAGTGCTAAAGCACTAATTTCAATACCTTAAGAAAGGAGCAAACCTCTTACATCACCACATCCTGTCAGTTATTGCCTGTCAGCAGCTGACAAACAGGTGAGGTAGGTGAGAGTCTACCTATTCCTTAATGTAGATAAGATGGGTGGTAGCCTCTCTTGAAGATGACCACAACAATCTTCCCTTCATGCCATGTGTACCCCTTCTAACAGTGAAAAGAGCTAAGCTGTGTAACCTATGGAATGTTGCAGAAATGACAAAGTGTGGCTTCTGAGACTAGATTATAAAATTACAGCCCTTGCCTGGCTCTCTCTTAGATTCCTTGCCCTCAGGGAAGCCAGTCACAACCTCAAGAGAACACTCAGAAAGCTCTAGGGAAGTTCACCCTGGCAAGAAACTGAGGCCTACTGCTAACAGGCACATCACTGAACTGTTGTGGGAAAAGATAACTCGATAACTCCAGCCTGCAGATGACCAAAGCCCCAGAGACTTCTTGACAGCAATCTCCCTAGAGACTGAGCCAAAGCCCCACTACTGATCAGCTCCCAAATTCCTAACCCACAGAAAATAGAATAATAATTTCTTATTGTTGCACTAAGCACTAAATTTTATAATGACTTATTCRGTAGCAATAGATAAGAAATACCGATGGCTCTGATTTGTTCAACACAGTTCCTCAGAGAAGAGAGCAGCAGTGAGTTAGCAGCCAGGACACAGCAGCCAGTCAGGAAAATGGCCAGGTAGARGGCACATGAGTGGGGCAACAGCAGTATCAACTACCTTGACTCTCACTCATTAAATTGGTTCCCCTTAACTTTCCCTACTACTTACACATAATGTCATGTGATGAACTTAATGTTGACTTAGACATYATGTCTAAAAATGATAGACTGACAACATTCTAAATGCTAGACATAGAGAAAATATTTTGCAATAATGAAGATTGCACAGACAAGCAAAAACTAAAAGAATTCATTGATAATAACAATCAGTGAAGGCTGGGGTTTAATTCAGAGGTAACATATTTGCCTARCATGTTCAAGGCCCTATGTTCAATCCTCAATCTTTTCCATCCCCACCAAAATCAATGAGAGATATACTAGGTAAAAGTAAAATGATTATAGATTAACACGTGAAATGGGAGGAGTAGCCCCAGAAAGAATAAAATGTGAGTAATTATAAGTAAGTATTGACTATCTAAAAATAAGAACAAAACTAATGTCCTAAGAGTTGTGAAAACAAGTAAKATATTTGCTGATATAACCACACAAGATGGAAAAAGAATGATGGAGTAAATCTGTTCTAAATTGCTTTATTGCTCCACGAAGTGATACAAGTCCTTATTTAAAATATTAAAAATTGAAAATGCATATTGTGATCCTATGGTAACCATTAAGAGAATAATAAAGAAATACATATCTAAAAGCTATGAAAGGATAAGAAATAATAAATGTCAGTTTAATTCAAAGGAAGGCAAGAAAGAAGGAATAAAGAGAAATACACAGAGTAAAGAGAAGATAAAAAGCAAGATGATACTCTTAAGYAAAACTACTTATGAAAAACTAGAATATTATTTATGACTACAAAAATGGACTAAACATTCCAATTGTATAACAAAGACTGGTTGATTAATCATCACTTCACACTGTTGGCTAGTCAAAAAGAAAGGAAGCTGGTCAAATTTTTTATAAATCAACAATGTTTATGCTGTGTGTATGACATACCACCCCAAAATATCAAAACATGACTAGGGGAGACCAGAACATGCCACTCAAAACTATAACTCTTCAGCTATCAATTACTTCAAGCTGGATATTTTGAGAAACTGCAGATACAGGAGTAGTTTTGAAAAGCTGCCCTTCTATAAAAAAATTTACATATATAAAGGAAATTATCATTAGTAAACAAAGTAAACTCCATTCACCATACATTTTCCCCTCCCCCTCTCACAATTTATTTCCACCACTTCCAAGAATCCATAAGCCTTTTGGTAGGTCTAAATGTTATCCCATAGGAGCCTCAAATTTGAGTCTCATATATTTTGGGGACCTTCAATGCCTACCTACATAACTAAAATAGATTTTCTGGTTGATCTGTCTYATGTCAATTTAATTCACACCCTCAGCCCAAAAACCTGGAGGGTGGAGGGAAGCCATTTTTCCTACTCCTACACTTGTATTAACATACATTGAAAAGAATTCTTTGATGTCATCCAGGCTATACAAGTTAAGCTCTTCCTAAAATGATTTAGGGAAAGAAAAAGACCTAAAATGATTTTTTTTAAGTTAGGATTCCATCATTCTAGAAATTTTAAACTAAGTCTAAAGTAAACTATAAAAATATAATTTGAAAAGGCTACAACTTATTTCTATAAAATGCATTTTAAAATTTTAGACAACATAATATAGTTTTATCTTCATTTTCACTGGCCAAGTCATAGGCACATTTTGTAATTGAGTATTCTGGGCTACCACAGAAACTATATTAAACTATAAYAACTACTAAGTTATTTTGTTCCATGTCCTTCTTTTAATAGTTTTGACTTGGTTTAAATTATAGAAAGTAGTTTCTGCTAGTAGTATTCTCATAAGAATTGTCCAAAGTAAATTTTWAAAAAATGAATACCTAAGAAAAACTAACATGTATTTAACAATAACTTATAAAAATTAACTMGGGATACATAAACTTTTTTAACTTCACTTTTTAAAAGTAACTAAGGATACATAAACTTTTTTTTTACTTCACTTTTTAATGAATTACACAGAGTTATTTTGTTAATGATCTAGATGGTCACTTAGAAATTCATTTCTTTTTTATCTATTTTTCATGTATTTTTAAAAATTTTAATTAGTGAGTCATAGTGGGAAATCCAAACAAGTCAACAGCTATACTTGTCCAATCCTATTTTATCTCTGTATGGTAACTATATTTAATACACACTACAATGAAAAACAATATTAACATATGAAATGAAAAAAATGAGTATCATCAGTTTTCATGAAAATTTCAACTGAGAACATTAACTTTTTTTTTTTTACTTAGGGAATGATAAGTTTAAAAAATACTTTTCAATAATAGCRTGTGTGTGAATATATATTCATGCTCAAGCATATCTGTTTCTCAGATACAGAAGGATGAGTTGAATATCCTTCTCAATTCCTGCCATAGTATCCTAATTTATCTGACTACTYCTTTCCTTATTTGTTTTATCTTCATTTATGTATTTTCTTCATTCCTCATCCTATTTCCTATGTTTCTGTAAGTATCTATTACATATAAGTACTTTACTATATACTACCCTTGAAAATATTGGCAAAGACAAATTTACAACAGATTTAATTAAAGAACTAATGGGACTTTACTTGCCATTCATGAATTGAATAGCCTTTATTCTTGTACTAATACAAGCAATCAGTCCATAAYAATGGCCACCCCCACAATTTTTGTTTGCCTATATGTATACAGTCAAGTACAGTTACTGACAGTTTTAAGAATTTTTCAGCTTAAGTACCAATTATCTAGCAAAGGAACACTAATAAAGGCTTTAATTTGTGAGGTAATGATGGGCATGGTCTTAGAAATGTGAGTTCTAGAAGCAAGCCCAGCTCAGTTCTTACCATTCTGTACCAAAACACAGCCATTTTCACTATTCCAGGTAARCTGTATGGAAACTTCTTTTCTATCCAACTATTTCTAAGAGATGCTAAATATTCAATAATGCTGAACCCAATAATACATCATTTAAATTTATTCTGTCTTACACTGTTCAGTAGGGTCACCACTAGCTGTATGCAGAATTCAGCTTACAAGTAAAATAAAAAACTCAATCACCAGTTGCACTACCTACATTTCAAATGCACAATGGTCACGTGTGTCTGTACCTAGCATATTATAATATAGAATAATTTCCATTACTACAGGGACTTTTTTTATTGGTCTCACAAGCTGAATCTGTCTTCCAAATTAATGGGACAGGTACAGCCACTGAATTTCAAAGTTAATGAACGCTGATCTTTTTTCTTCTATACTGTATTTGGGTCTACTTAATGAATACGTTCTATTCTGTTGTAAAATGAATGGCTTACTTTCTTTTCTCTTTCTGGTTGTAAAACAAATGTCTTACTTTCTTCTGTTGGCAAGTGTCTCTTCACCATTCCTTGTGGAGATCTTCATTCCATGCTTCTCCTTGCTAGGATCAAAAGAACAAGGGGGGCTTTGTGTAGGTGTTCTTACTGGATGGCCACAAATCTTATTTACCTTTTAAAGAGAAAACATTAAAAGACAGTTAGAAATCAATCTCCAGCTTTTCTGGGAATGTAATRTTTTACAGGGGCCCAAACAATGACATGTTCTTGCTTATATCTCAATATTAACCTATAATACATGTAACATTTGTCAGTTTTTAAACAGAGGGAATCAAATTATATGCAGAAAATGGCAACCATGATACATGGTGACAAACATATTTATATGAGTTACGGTATGCATATGCAAATATGCAAAATTAAAGAACTAAATTAATAAACTGAACTGTTTTCCATTCAATGAATAGATAATATTTATGTTTTACATTTATGAATATGAATAATCACATCCTTGTACTGATTTTAAAATAAACTAATTTGCTACTGAATMTGCCCTAATTTTTAAAATGAGTACTAAGGGTAAAAGCAAATACCTTTGTAGTTTTCTTCTTATAGTCTTTTTTCAGAAATGTCAGTATATTTAATATAAATATCTCATTTTATAATCATTCTATATCTTCTCTCTTAATCTGTTGTGATTTCCAGAGTGTTATTATAGTCTTTTGAACATTTATCCAAGTGGAAAATTTATTGTTTTTAAAAATTCTAAACTAGCAAATATATTTGTATAATTTACATAATTACCACTGGAAAAAATTAAGTAATTAATTAACCATGTAATATATCAAAAAGATTCATATAACTTATATACATGAAGATCCAGAGCAGCAAAACTAGATAATACATAAAATCATTGCCCTGAAACCAGGAAACTATTTCTTGTTGAATTTTCTTTTCTTGATGCTAAGACCTTAAAAAAATGACAGAATCTCTGAATCTGATTATCTGATATGTATAATGAAAGAGATTATTCTAATCTTCTCTAAAGTTTTAAATTTCTTTAATTTTCCAAGATTTATGAATCTATTCATTTATTTCACCCATATTTGYCTTCTAATATTTGCAAAGCTCATATATTAAATGATATGAAATAAAAGRTAATTAAATTTTCTCCTAACAGAGCATAGAGTTTAGAAGAAAAAGGTATCCACMATCATCAAAACACAAGTAGCATGTGTCAAAATTTGGAGACAGGTGTGGTGGCACAGGCCTGTAGTCCCAGCAGCTCTGGAGGCTGAGGCAGGAGGATTGAGAATTCAAAGCCAGCCTGAGTAACAGTGAGATGCTAAGCAACTCAGGGAGACCCTGTCTCTAAATAAAAATACAAAAATGGGGCTGGGGATGTGGCTCAGTGGTTGAGTGCCCTTGAGTTCAATACCTGGTACCTGCCCCCCAACCAGCCAAAAAAAAAAAAAAAAAAAAAAAGGAGCTTAGAATATGTTCTGGATTAGAGGAAGATGGGATCCTTCCCAGTTGGGGTTGATATAAGAGAAGGCACACTAAGTGAATACCCAAAGAAAAATCTGGAGTTTCTGTTGGATTTGGAAATGCTGAGGTTTCTTTTAATTCAACCTAGTTATAAATAAATATTTCTCATAGCACATTATGTTAAGTACTAGAGATGCAAATATGAATAAGGTATGCACCCCTACACACACTTAAAATAGAAGTCACACATGCAAAACAACCATTGTGTCATTGCATGATAGCAACTGTAGAATTACATGAAAGTCAGTAACATTCTAACACTTACATAGAAAATAGGTATATTAACTCTTTTTGGGGTACTCAGGAAAATGCTTCAGGAAGTCATGCCTGAACAACAAGTTAAAGGATGAACTAAGAATTTGTGAGGTGGAAAAAACAGGGGCGAGAATTTCAGAAAAGAGTAGAGTAACAAACATATATGCAACAACTTAAGCTGCACATCTAGAAAAAAAAAAGTACACCATACAGTCAAGAAAGAAGGAAGAGTGGTGTGAAAGATTTGAAAATGCCATGATATGAGTTGAATGCCAAGCTCAAGGACTTGCTTCAAAACATGGACTGTAGCCAAGTTTCCAAGCAAGGAAATGAGGACTGCCACGAGAGAAAAATCATCATGACAGCAATGTGGAGAGTGAGGGCCAGGCCAGAAGAGAAATGTGAGGGCCCAATGAAGCAGAAGATGAAAAAGAAGAAGCAGATACCAGAGATGCCAAGGAGGGAAAGACAGTAGCTCTAGGAGACTGATTTGGTTAATGAACAAAGAATATGATAAAAGAGAAAAAATCCTGAGATGGAAGTACAAGAATACATGGGTTGGATCTAGAAAATGTTTAAAATTTTTATTTATCTGGTAAGAAGGGGTCATAGATGTATTATTAAAAGGAAATTCTTTTAAGGGTAGTTGGAAACAGATCAATGAATACTAGGCTAAARAGATGTCTTTATTAGACAAAGGCAACTGCTGGCTGCCAAATGGAAAAGTAAAATACCAAAGCAGGTTTTTAGCAAGTGCATCAAGCAGTACTAGAGAGAAAGAGAAAGAAAAAAATAAAGAAAGAAAACAAAACTACTAAACCATTTACAGATTCCTTGAGCATTCCCAAGGAGAGATATTTTAGTTCTGAACTACACCAGTGACAGTCATGCCTTTTAGATAGAAGTAAAATCAACATGCTTTGACAAATGACTTTAAGTGAAAAGTAAGGGCAACATAAAGGCCAAGTTGTTAAAAGACTCAATTTCCAATCCCAGAGACTAAAAACTAGTGAGAGAAGAATGTAAATACATCAGCAAGGTTCTAAATAGAGAGAGAATCTCCAACGTCAACAACTCCTAGTAACAAGAATGAAGGGAAGATGATATAAGTTGATAGTGGAAATGTCCAGAGTAAGATGTTTGGAAGGATATTTTGGAGCAGAGAGAAAGGAAAACAGAATCTGCAATCATCATCTAAATATGACTATCCATGGAGACTGCAGCAAGTTATGGAACTTCTATGAATCTGTTTTTCCATCTTTGAAACTCAAGAAAGTAAGATCACTTAGCAGTCATAAATTAAGAGAAATCTTATCTCACCCTGCCCCTCCTAGGTTGAACCTAAAACCATGTCTGTTATTGAATGTTTCCTAGGTAAGCTGATGGAGAGCTGTAAAATGCCAGACTCACAGGGTCTTTATTCTTATCATCACCTTTGCAATTTTTCCTTACAAATACAAGAGAATGTGCAAACTAAGGACTCAAGGTATCTTTGATTGTATCCAAAGATACAAGCATGTATAGCAGATTCCAATAAATACAAATGAATTTCAAAACCCTTATATTTGTTGACTTACTATCAGGGAGTCTAGCTTCACACTTTATTGAAAGGGAATGGAAAACCATCTGTTACCAGCACATTAGCCTGTCACCTTAGCTCCCCTGAGGTGAGCCAATTTGGGTGGCATATTTCAATACAAGTTCCTTCTTGCTATTGAAAAAACCTTCACACTTACATTGACAATTTTTCATCTTTGACTTATACTGCAATTTCTTCCTTATTCTCCTCCCTGGTCTCTACCATTCTCCATTGTAATCAGTCTTACATGTCKCAAAAAAAAATTGTTTTCCTCCCTAATACTTATCAACTCCTGCTTAAAGTTCCATCTCTGACTTCCCACTGATTTTCAAGTTCCCATCTCACCTTGAAATGACTCTCTTAGTTGCTTCTAACCCATATCACTTCTCCCACTCCAAGTATTTGCTTCAACAACTCCTTGTCACTTAGCTGGCTTCCCCATTCTCAAAGTAATCTTGGCACCACATACAGAATATAAACTTATCTTTCATTACTGCATCCCTGTGTCTGTTCACTCAGTCCGATTCAAATCTTCAAATACTCAAAGTTTTCTACTGATAATTCTAAAAAGTTTTGTTAAGGACCAAACTAATTTATTTTTCATCTCACTTTCATCTGCAGAGACTAGGAATCTTTCACAATGCTATTTTTAAAGTGTATATTATTAAAAATACAAGTTGAAAAAGGAAATAAGTTTAGAATATTACAAATTGACAGTCAACAATTACAGATGTGCTATGTGTGATTATTGAGCAATTTGGTTCAGAGGCTGAGGCAAAGGCACACTCTACAGCACCTTGAATGTAAGGGTGACTGCTGTTCCTTGTGCCACTTCTAGGATGCTTCATGCTAACAGAGAAAACATCAACAGGAATTACATTAAAAAATGACTCTACATACCCTTAAAAACAAAAATAATAAATGAAATAAAGAACAAGGTTGTGTTTTATCAAATGTTTGATGCTCCATTATATTAAAACCTACTTCTAAACTATCAGGAAGAAATGTTATACTGGTCATTTTTACAGCTATAACAACAAATTTGATTTTATTTTCTCATGTTCAGTAACTTTATGATTTTTAGAAGCAATTTGTTAAGAGCAAAAATCTGTTAACTTTCCCAGACAGAGATAAAATCCAAGACCTTACTTTTTTATTCAATAAAAATAAATTTAGGAAAAAAGTAAGTTGAGCCAGATCTGGAAGCAAAAGAGGGACACTGGTTAAGTGCCAGGTTCATTAGATTTAGACTTCATTTTACAGACTATGATAACATATTACAAATTAATGAACAAAGAAATGGAATTGTCAAAGCCTATGTTAGAAAGATTTGGCAGTCATGGCACCCAACAAGGAATATATAAGAGAATATCAGAATAAAATCTCTTATATAAGAGAATATCAGAATAAACTCAGCAAGAACCAGTGGAATAAGAGGAATGGGAAGAAAAAGCCCTTTGATGAGCAGGATGACTGGAATTTGGCTTCTGGTTGGTTCCGTTTATGAGTTGAAAAAGGAAAAGCTAAAGCTATTGGTAGTTTTATACAATGTAACCAGATCATTCTTTTGGGTTAGAGCCGATAATTGATACGTAAAAGTATTGGGTACATCTGTGCTTTGGTATGGGTGGTTAATTCCCTTTTACAACTATACTCAAGAGGAAATATCTTTTTTTAAAATACTTTATTAGTTGTTGATGGACCTTTATTTATTTATAGGTGGTGCTGAGAATAGAAACCAGTGCCTCACACATGCTAGGCAAGTACTCTATCACTGAGCCAGAACCACA